CCGGTATATTACATACATATACTTTATCATATATGTATAAACATATATAAGAAAACAAAAAAGTATGAAATGGTATGTAACAATCTACAGTAATACCTCGGTTTGCGAACAAAATTCATTCCAGAAACAAACTACTCGTATTGCAAGACATCGCTTGTTTACCAAGTTAAAATGTATTATTAGGTTGGTGCAAATGTAATTGCGGTTTGTGCCATTACGTTTGCACCAACCTAATAGAAATGTTTGCTCGTCTTACGGAACACTCGCAAACCAAGTTACTCGCAATCCAAGGTTTTACTGTATTTAAAAGGTTTATGGAAATAGGGGTCCTTTCACATTCTATTATAAGCACTTCTATATTATCTGTTTTTACACGGGACATGGATTTCTTCTGTGATTTTTCAAGATTAATAAATAAAAATCCTACTAGGGCCAGTAGAAAAGAATAGGGAAATGAATGGTGCAAGATAAAGTAAAGCACATGGGTCAGAGCTCCAAGCCAGTAAAGCGTCAACCCAGGGATCAGTGATCATTCCAACAGTAGCGGCAGGACCAGAGGCAGCAGTGCTAGAGGAGAGGAGCCCAAGAGGGGGTAGGAAGGAACCAAAGATACACTTTACTCTTAGTCCTTTGACTATTTCACCAAATTTAGCACAGTTTTAACTTGGGCTACATAAATGGGATTGTATTCAAATTTACATCTTCTCAAAAGACAATGCAGTTCTCTATGCATTGTGCTTCAGGGGGTCCTAAGTAGAGTCAGTTAAATGTTTGTGCATTTTTTTCCCAGATTCAATTCCACATTCACTGTTCTCACTGAAAATTTCCCCACACCTGCAAAATCAGATGATTTTCTTCATGTTGTTAACCTGCACAGGGATGTTCAAGTAAATGAAAGGCTAAAAGATGACTTTAAATCTGCACAAAAAAATCACTAATGCTTACCCGGTTTTCTGCTGAATTCTTTGGGTTAGCACCTACAAATGTAACTTCAACAACTTCTCCCTGAAAATAAACATTCATTCTGTGAGTGTTAACAAAAGTATTTTTTGCTGTGCTCATATTTGGGCCATTATTTATGAAATGTTCTAAGATTCTGGATACCTGCGTAGATTCTGTTCTATTTAGTCAAGTGAGTTATCTTCTGAGACTATTATATGAAGTGCCCTTGAAACAATGGACACAGGAAGTTTTAGCCAATATATATATTACTCTGGAATTTTTAGCCAATGAATTTTATTTTGGTACATTTGATATAGTTGAAGATATAGAAAGAATTCTATAAACATGAAAATACCCTTCAAAAATAAAAGCAAAATAAAGACATTTTCAAACATA